CTTAGGTTCTTAAGATGAAATGACAGCTGGCATGTCGCTGTGATAAATCCAGAAGACCTAGAAAACGATAAAGAGGGGAACTGATACAGTTCCCGATCCGTGTAATCGCGGTCTTATCTAATACCCCCCACCCCCATGAGAGCTCCTAGCACAGGTATTCTGGTCTGAATGTTTGAGTCCCCCCATAAATTCCTGGGGGAGGGGAAGACACAAGTTGAAATCCTAACCCCCAAGGTGACAGTACTAGATGAGGCCTTAGGCCACGAGGGGCAGAGTCCTCATGAACGAGATGAGTACCCTTATACGAGGCCCCAGAGATCCCCCCTGCCTCCACCACCTGAGGAACAGTGAGAAGGGGCAGTGTGTTTGTGAGAAAGCTGGCAAAGAGAAAAACAGAGAGGCAGGAGACTTAAGGGACACAGAGATGGACTGTCTGTTGATAACGTGTGTGATACCTTTGACTGGACTGCTGTGCAGTATAGTCATACTGGGAAAATTCATTTTACAAGCTGAGGTGGTGAACACTGACAGGGTGTATAAAATTAATCTTCAAAAATAATTTTTTTTTTTTGGAGAGGTTTTTGCTGTATGGCATGTTTGCTCACCAGACAGACAGAGATAGAGAGACAGAAAGCGAGAAATCACCCCCCAAAGGGGACGGCCACGGCCACACCACAATCCCTTCTCCTCCATTCTCCTCTCGGGATCTTGGGCACACACGCACATGCGCCCAGCGGGGGTTTAAGCCACCGGGTCGGGGACTCGAACTGCAGTCGACTACGTGGGAGTCCAGCGACATAGCCATTATGCCAACTGCTAGTCCCTTTTTATTTATTTATGTTTTAATTTAAATTCCTTTTTTTTAAAAAAAAAAGCTAGCCCCCAACAGACACCAAATCTTTGATCTTAGACTTCCTGACCACTAGAACTGTGAAAAATAAATTTATTTTATAAGTTACCTTTTTTGTTATAGCACTCCAAAAGGAATAGGACGACACAGGAACAGAGCGTGAAGGGCAGACCTACACATGGCATTTTGCTGCTCTGAAGAGGACATAAAGATTTGCTACAACAGATTTCCCTGGTGCCCCTTTTTTTTTTGGACAGGTTTTTTTGCTATAGGGTGTGTGCTCTCGCCAGAAAGAAAGAGACAGAGAGACAAAGTGAGAAATCACCCCCCCCAGGGGAATGGCCACTCTGAAATCCCTTCTCCTCCATTCTCCTTTCGGGATCTTGGGCACACACGCACATGCGCCCAGCGTGAGTTTAAGCCACCGGGTCTGGGACTCGAACTGCAGTCGACTACGTGGGAGTCCAGCAACAAAGCCATTATGCCAACTGCTGGTCCTCCTAGTGCCCTTTGAAAGTGTAATTTTACTCTGCAGTTTTTTAGGAGCCATGCCTGAATTCATCATTCATGAATTTATTCAAACTGTATTTGAAATTTGCTGTTTTCTGCTATATATATATGTGTGTGTGTGTGTATATATATATATAGTTTTTTCAGAGAGATTTGCTGGGGATTTTAATGTCTTTGTTATTTACTGACATGCATGGTATTCCTTCTGGAAAAAGAAATGTAATATACTGTAAAGTTATATGTGAGTCAATGTACTATAAACAAGATTATAATAATAAATTAAAAAAAGAAAAAAATTAAAAGGAGAGATTTGTGCTATAGGGACGTGTGCCCATTGGAGAGACAGAGAGAGAGAGAGAGAGAGAGAGAGAGAGAGAGAGAGAGAGAGAGAGAAATCAGCTCTCAGGGGAAATGGCTATGCTGAAACCCCTTCTCTTCCATTTCCATTCTCCTGTCGGGATTTTAGGCATGCACACATGCACACATGCGCACGCGCCCAGCATGACGTTTAAGCTGCCAGGTCTGGGACTTGAACCACGGTTGACTGCGTAGGAATCCAGTGACCTAACCACTGCACCATCTTCTGCTCCCCAAAATATCATGCTGTCTACCCCGTCTCAGAAGCTGCCAGCTCCAAGTCCTTGCTATGAACCATGCCTTGTCAACAGAGAGTTAAACAAGGAGACTGTGGAGAAACTTCTATTTAGCCAAGAGGTTGCTTCTTGAGGGAAAGGGTTCTCTGGTTTAAAAAAAAAATACCTGTTCAGCCAAGAGTCTCATGGATAAGAAAGTATGTCTGCCCTCAGACAGAAAAGTCCACATAAACCGGGCTACGCTCATGCTGGAGCACTGCCCATGCTGTGACAGATTCCTAGAAAAAACAAACCGCACTGGCTATTTCTAGAAGTAGAACGGGACAGAAAGTGTAATGGGGATGCGCCACCTACTGGCCAGAACCGGAACTGTGACCTGAGCATATTGAAATACCTAATCTACAAGATTCAGCGCTGTGGATCCTGACCCCAACCCCACCCCCTGAACGTGAATACACTTGTGTATGTGGGGAGGGGGGAAAGTGGGGGGAGGCAGGGGAGAAAGCACTACCTAACAGGGCATGATCACACTGCAAATCCTTTTCCTTCCATTTCTCCATCCTGTCAGGATTTAGAACATATATGCAAGGGACCAGCAGTTGGTGTAAGGGCTATGTCGCTGGACTCCCATGTAGTTGACAATGGTTCGAGTCCCAGACCCAGTGGCATAAACTCACGCCGGGTGCGTGTGCGCCCAAGATCCTGAGAGGAGAATGGAGAAGGAATTGCGGCTTGGCCATCCCCACTGGGGGTGATTTCTCACTTTCTGTCCCTCTTTCTGGCGAGTGTGCGCGCCCGATAGCAAAAAAATAAACTCTCAAAAAACAAACAAAAAACACATATGCATACACAACAGCGTTTTTCTTTTTTTGGAGAGGTATTTTCTTGGTATAGGGTGCAAAGCAAGAAATCACTCCCCAGGGGGGATGGCCATGCAGCAATCCCTTCTCCTCCATTCTCCTCTCGAGATCTTGGGCATGCAAGCACACACACCTGGCTGGAGTTTAAGCAATTGGGTCTGGGACTCGAACCATGGTCGACTACATGGGAGTCCAGTGACATAGCCATTACACTAACTGCTGATCCCAACAGTGTGTTTTGAAAGCTACTGGAGTCAGGATTTGAACTGTGGTCAGCCATGTGGGACCAAGCTCCCTTACCTGCTGTGCTAAAGGACCAGCCCAAAGTCCTTTTTTAAATTCCAATTTACCATAAGGTGATTTAAATTCTTTCAGGTAAACTGTAATTAATAATCTGGTGAAGAAAATATGGTTTGTCCCATGAGATGCATGGAGATATTCCCTGATTATCAGAAAAGTCATGATGCATTTTTGCATAGAACAGAAAAACATGTCTTGACTTTTCTGACAACCTAACATTTTATAGCTTCTAATTCTGATATATTGGTTAACAATTGTGATTATTAACACCAATAGACACTTTAATAGGAGTACTCACCCACATTTAAATAGAAAATACTAAGAATCTAAAAATATTTCAAAAGCAACCTTTTGAATTAATAATTGTTTTCCTTTCCAACAAAGAGTCTTCAATAGCTCTATAAAGAATAAGGTGGCTGGATCCATGACCAACACACAGTTGAGTTCCAGACCTGGTAAGAAATAGCAGGGATGTGTGTGTGCATGCCCAAAAGCCCAGGAGGGAAGGTGGAGGGGAAGATGGCAGCCTGGCCATCCTGCATGGGGATTACTTTCTCACTTCCCTGTCTCTCTCTGTGGCTTGTGTGTATACCCTCTGGCAAATTAAAAAAGAAGACTCGAAAACATCTTTCACATATAAACACATTTTCTAACACTTCCACTGTGTCAATAAAGCAGCCAATAATGAATGCATTTGTTAAAATGGAGTAAATACCCTGAGAAAAATAAACATTTCCCTTTTTATTTATTTTTTGGAGAGGTTTAGGGTGCGTGTACTCACCAGAAAGACAAGAGACAGAGAGACAAAAAGTGAGAAATCACCCCCCAGGGGGGATGGCCACACTGCAATCCCTTCTCCTCCATTCTCTTCTTGGGATCTTGGGCTCACACGCGCACACACACGCGCCCGGGATGAGTTTAAGCCACTGGGTCCAGGACTCGAACCGTGGTCAACTACATGGGAGTCCAGCGACATAGCCATTACACCTACTGCTGGTACCTCCGTTTTATTTTTTACATGCTTTTTCCTATAGTGTGTACGCTCACCAAAGACAGGGACAGAGTGGGGGAGCGAGTGAGAAATCACCCTCTGGGTGGACGACCATGCTGCAATCCCTTCTCCAGTCTCCCCTTGGGAATTTGCACATGCATATACACATGTGTGCATACACCTGGCATGATTCTCAAGTCACTGGGTCTCACTGTGGAGCGACTTGACCTCTACACCACTAGTTCCTGGCCCAACAATTCCCTTCCTGATAATAAAGGCAAATGTTGCTATTTTACGATTCAGCTTTAATATACAAAACATACAGAAAACGGGTTTATAATATTTCTTAAAGTAACTTGTAATTTTATTAGTTTTCCAATACTCCTGTGACTTTTTGTATTACAAACAGATTTCCCACTGTGACAACTACACACAGAGCTCTGCAGTTTACGTCAGTGACACAGGAAGACCGGACTCCACAGATAGCACACTGGGAAACGTACAGACAAGCGCATGTAGGCAGGTGACGTTACTGAGCCGACGGGATACATGTTCTTCCCATGTCCTGCGATCAGAGCTGAAAGGCTTTGCAAACATACAAGTGATACCGTTTGACTGAAGCAATACGAAACCGGGTCAGAGGAATGAAACACATTTCCAATCACTGCCAGATCTGTTTTTCTGGGTGAGTTAAGTTTACATTTTTTCACGGAAAAAAATATATTTCAGGCAACTAAAAACAATGAAATAACCGCGTGTTCCGTTTCCATTTCTTTATTTTTACCTTCATCAAGGCGAGCAAAGTACAGATGCTGTACATTAAAACATGAATACATCACTCATACCACAGGAACTCCTACAGGCAAAGGGCTTTGTCTAAACAGTGCTCCTTTCTGAAGCATAGTGACAGCTAAATGTACAACGAGCCGTCTGCTGGTCCCACGTAGCCCACTCCAATCAGCAAGACGTCGATGAGCGTCCATATCCCCAGGCCGCCGAAGCTGAAGAGCTTGCCGAGGCCTTCTCGCCACTGGCCCAGGTAGAAGCGGTCGGCTCCAAACCCACCGAGGGTGATGCTGCAACAGCAAACCGGATGGGGGTCCTTAACACTGTCTCCACCCCAGCTGCAGCCAGGTGTGTGGAACAACTGTGCTAACTCACGTTGGTGTAACCGGCTCAAATGATCATAATCTTTCATTACAACACTAACAACTATGTTACAAGTTTACAAAACCAAATAACCAACGGGAAGAAGACTGCTGAAACGTCAAAAGTAAGCGTGTAATTTTTAGGGACCTCGCAGTGGCACGACTATGTCTACATGGGGAAAGACCGTCACTCTGCATCCTCGGGAACCTGAGTGTGGCTGAAGCTTGTGTGACCGTGATCCAGGTGCTGACACTGGGGATGGATCGTGCACAGGGACCTTGGGCGTACTCATCTCTGTCTCTCTCATGGAAGCACTAAATAAACAAACCTCAAAAACCAGGACCAGCAGATGGCGTAATGGTTACATTGGTGGACTTCCATGTAGTTGACTACGGTTCGAGTTCCGGACCAAGTGGCTTAAAACTGGTTTGTGTGTGCCCAAAATCCCAAGAGGAGAATGGAGGAGAAGGGACTGCAGTGTGGCCATCCCCCCCAGGGAGTAATTTCTTGCTTTCTATCTGTCTTTGTCTCTCCAGCAAGCACAAGTGCCCTATAGCAAAAAGTTTCTAAAAAAAATCCCCCCAAAAACACACAAAAAAATCCTGCGGTAACATGGGGAGTCAGGTGCGTGCGATAACTCAACACAGCCAGCTGACCTAGATCAAGACATCTACTTTTAGGACCAGCAGTTAGCATAATGGCTATGTCGCGGGACTCCCATGCAGTCGACCACGGTTCAAGTTCTGGACTCGGTGGCTTAAACTCACATAGGGCCGTGTGCATGCGTGCCCAAGATCCCGAGAGGACAATGGAGGAGAAGGGATTGCGGTGTGGCCATCCCCTTAGGGGGGGAGATTTCTCACTTTCTGTCTCACGCTCCCTATAGCAAAAATGTCTCAAAAAAAAAGAAAGAAAGAAAGAAAAGAAAAAAAGACATCTACTTTTTCAGTTATTCCTTTTCTCTGAACACTTAAGTGTCAGGAATCAATGACTTTTTTTTTTTGGAGAGGTTTTCACTATAGGTGTGCTCCCCAGAAAGACAGAGACAGAGAGACAGAAAGCGAGAAATCACCCCCCAGGGGGATGGCCACGCCACAATCCCTTCTCCTCCATTCTCCTCTCGGGATCTTGGGCACGCATTCACACGCGCCTGGCGTGAGTTTAAGCCACCGGGTCCGGGACTCGAACCGCGGTCGACTACATGGGAGTCCAGCAACATAGCCATTACGCCAACTGCTGGTCCCAGGAATCAATGACTTTTAAAGTTCCTTCAAATGTTAACATCTAAAAACGCTGCGATGATATTTACTATGGAAAACTTTAACACATATGTAAGGTAAAAAGCAGAGAACAGTCCCAGCAGGTTCTACCGGGCAGCCAACCCTTATGGCCTGCAGCCTCCCCCCCCACCAGAGCACTGTGAAGAAAACCCTCAATACCATCTCATTTACAGGCTGAAGGAAATCGTGCTGGGCTCTGAGAAGAAATTTACTCCTTTTTGCTTTTCTTTTTTAAAGTTTCTGCTACAAGGTGTGTGTACTCACTAGAGAGACAGAAAGGGAGAGGAAAATCACACCCAGTGGGGATGGGCACTCAATTGCTTCTCTAGTCTCCTCTAGGATTCTGGGCTCACGCACATATGCATCCGGTGTATTTTTCAGGCCTCGGGTCTGGGACTCAAATCGCAAAGTCAGCCATGTGGAATCCAGCTGCCTCACCACCATGCCACCAGCTGGCTCAGAAAACTATTCTTCATTTTCAAAAGTGAACTGTTAAATGCACCATGGTGATGGAAATGTTAACTATGTAAGAAAAACTGGGTCAGGGCACACAGTGATTCGCCACTCTCTCTGCAACTTTTCTGTAAACCCAAACTTATTCTAAAATTTGTTTTACACGTCGTGTTTTACTTTCGACAATTGCAGACAAAGACTGACTAGTTATTACATCCTATTTTTGTTATATCTAATTTTCTACCTTGAACTCCTTTACTTTCTAGTTACACCTTCTGGCCAAACAAGATCCTTTCCTTAATCAGCCAAAACCTTAACACAGTGGTTCTCAACAAGAGGCAATTATCTTCCCAAAGGACATGTCGCAATGTCTGGAAACACTGTCACGCCTTGCGGGTTGGGGAGGGAGCTGCTCTGAGGACTCACAGGTAGAGGCCAGGGACACTCTCATAGGTAGAGGCCAGGGATACTGTCCAACACGCTACTCTGCACAGGACAGCCCCATGACAAAGATTTATTTGGCTCCAAATGGCAAAAGACTGAGAAATCCTGCCCTGTGTCATGCTGTAGACCTCTCTTTCTTTTCTTTTTTTTTTTGGAGAGTTTTTGCTATAGGGTCTGTAACAATGACTCAAGTCATCTCTGGGGTGTGCAGGCCTTTTCGGAAGACAGCTAACTTGCTGACCGTGAAATCTCAGAAAGAGGGACCAGCAGATGGTATAGCAGTTACATCGCTGGACTCCCAAACAGTCTGACTGTGGTTCGAGTCCTGGACCTGACAGCATAAAACTCACGCTGGGTGTGTGCGTGTATGCCTAAAATCCCAAGAGGAGAGGGGAGTCTCTCTGGCGAACACATATGCCCAACAGCACAAATCTTTGGGGGAAAAAAAAAAAAGAACAGGAAAAAGAAGTTCCAGAAAGGTCCTGGCATAATCGTCCAAACGCCCACAGCTACCTTTCCTAGAGTCTATCTCACGTAGGTCTGAGTGAAGGATGAGCTTGGCTGGCTTTGATATCGGGAAGATTCCACGGATCCCAAGAAACCCAATGGCATTTTCAGATGAACAAAACTTACCTGAGAGCCAGGGCGGTGGACCACTTATAGCCTCCAGTCCAATTGCAGTACAGCATTTTGCGAAAAGTACGATTACCTTAAGAAAAAAAAAAAAAAGGAAAACGCTCTACTAACACAAGTA